GGTAGGACCCGTGTGACTCGAAGATGTAACAGAAGACCTGAGGCCAAACCCGAGGCCAAGCACATAGGCAATACCCAAGGCCAGGTACATAGCAAAACCCCAGGCCAAGACCTGAGTTCATGTACATAGGCAAACCCCAGGCCAGGCACATAGGCCAAACCCCAGGCTTAGCACATAGGCAACACCCCAGGCCGGGCACATAGGCAACACCCCAAACCAGGCACATAGGTAAAACCCCAGGCCTGGTACAAAAGCAAAACCAGAGACCAGGTACATAGGCAAAATCCCAGGCCAGTTATACATTGTCAAAACCCCAGGCCAGGTACATAGTCAAAACGCCAGGCTAGGCAAATAAGCAAAACCTGAGGCATGGCACACAGGCGAAACCTAAGCGCAGTAAATAGGCGCAACCTAAGTGCAGTACATGGGCAAAACCTGGGGCCAGTATTAAACAACTCGATGCACGATGAAAACCCAAGTGCAGATACAAAAAAATTGCTGCAAGAGACAAAAATTTTTGGTGCACCAGGGCAAAAGAATTGGTGCACGAGACCAAAAAGCTGGCGCATGAGGCAAAAAAAAAGGTGCATGAGTCTTGAGACAAAAAATTCAGTGCACCACGCAAAAAGAAGTCAGTGCACAAGGCAAAAAAGTTGGTGCAAGAGACAAAACATTCGGTACACGAGGCAAAAAGTTTGGTGCGCACTGCGCGGGGCAAAAAAAGTTGGTGTGCGCCGCAAAAAACATTGGGTGCATGCAGCAGCACAAGGCAAAAAAAAACGGTGCTTGCTACACGGGCGAATTCAGATTCGCAGTTGGATGCCTACTTTTGCATCGTACAACGTACAAAGGAGGCGAAGTTTCCGCCATAACTGTGTTCGGGGGAGGGACACAGCACAGCCATAGCTGCTGCAATCTCCCGAACGACTGCACCGATCCGTCTGCCATTTGCACCCTTGTCCCTTGCCCTGCTGGGCACCTGAGTGGACACAACCTTTTTTTTTGCGGCTTCATCCTCATTCCAGGTTATGAGTTCTGACTCTTTTGACCCTTGAGTGATGTACACGCATCCATACCTACAGATATCACTCAGTACACTTTAAGATCCAACATCACTCGGAGTACGAGGTAGGCAATGGGAGGAGGGGCCTAGGTGTCAGGGGATCTGGGCTGAAGGGGGGGTTGGGTTTAGGTGGGTAGCATCGTCGGAGGAGGACGGAGAGAAATGGGCCTCAAGGCTCTATCGCCTGCAAGGCATGAGGGCAGGGGTCTGGCATCTGACATCTTTTGGACAACTTGGGTTTTGGGTTTTGGGTTTCGTATATGTACCTGGTCTCGGTGTCTGTCTGTCTATCTGCACGCCCCATCGTCTGAACGTAGACCAGTTTCTGCACCAAAATTTTGAACTGTTTTGTGCACTAAATTTTTCGAGTACTACCATATACTCTAGACACTGGAGTTTCGCCTCATCCTAAGTCATGCGCCAAATTTTGTTTTTCGAATGTTTTCTTTAGAATCTGTAAGTCTTTTTCAAGTCCTTAATTTTGGTATGATGATGAGCAAAAACCCCGTCTTCGTTTTGTGGGCATGGAAAATTGAAAATGGATGTTGCCTTACATGTGCCTTCTGTTAATTACTCGATTGATTGTTTGGTTGATTGGTTGATTGATTGATTGATTGATTGCTTTGGTTTGGTTGGATTTGGTTGGGTTGGGTTGGGTTGGGTTGGGTTGGGTTGGGTTGGATTGGATTGGATTGGATTGGATTGGATTGGATCGGATTGGGTGATTGGGTGATTGGGTTGGGTTGGGTTGGGTTGGGTTGGGTTGGGATGGGATGGGATTGGGGATGGGGATGGGGATTGGGATTGGGATTGGGATTGGGAATTTGATTGGGAATTTGATTGGAATTTGATTGGGAATTTGATTGGATTGGATTGGATTGGATTGGATTGGATTGGATTGGATTGGATTGGGATTGGGAATTTGATTTGCTTTGCATCTAGCTACAATATTAGAAGATTGTGGTATGTAAAGCCACGATGTCGAAAACTTGAAGTCCAAAGACCCAATATTAAATTCCCCCTAGGCGGGAGTTGTCTCTATGTCGTAGAATGAAATCTGCTTTGTGCACATGCATAGACCCCTTCCCGACTAATTGATTGATTGATTGATTGATTGATTGATTGATTGATTGATTGATTGATTGATTGATACCGGATGTCAACCGGTACATCTAGCCAAATGTCAGGGCCCGAACATCGGGGGTAGAAGTGGTCAGGGACTCCAGAGAACTCCTCCCTCCCCCCCAACCCCCCCCTCAAATGGTTTGTTGCTTTCCTGGTAACATTATCAATCATTTTTCAACATAGATAATAGCAATAGTTCATCATTCATGAGTACTGAAAGTCTTAAATCATCTTTTCGCCCTAGCTTCTTTTTTGGTACGTGGATTTTTGCCTGCCGGCGCCAGCCTGTTCTGTTCGGAAGGCCCGGCGCGAAGGCTTCGGAGAAGTTCGGACCGATTGCTACGTAGTACGTACACACAATACAGCTTTTCTCTCTCAGAGACACCTTTTGCATTGATCTGCTTTTCTGATTCAGTATAGTATCAATATCTATAGCAGTCTTACGTGTCAGGACAAACTACCTGGGAAATGGGCTGGTGATTTGATTCGATGAACTCAATCCTTTGTGTGAATCAGTGTGATCTGTTTGATTGCAATTTAGCGAGATTTTTGTGTAGGGCAAAAGAAAAGTTGTTGCTGGGGACATTCTTTTTTTTGTTCTAAATTTTAATTCTCTGGTGACAAAATGATATGGCAGATGGCATGCTGAAGATGTCGAGCAGCGCCATTTGGAAAATGCGCGGTATCTCTGGTCCAGGTGAGTGGAGTTTTTTTTTTTTCCGTTCTTTTTTTTTTTTGTACAATACGAGAGCAGAGTTTTCACAGTCTGCCTGCCAAAGAACTCTTTTTCTTTTTGCTTTTCGCTCCCGGACAAGTTGAGGCAGAGATAACACATACCACTAATTCAGACTCAGGACCATTGTTTTCCCCACCGGATCCCTTGAGCACCCAGATCAACTCCTGCTAAAACACCACAGGTTTCCATACCAAAGGCACACAACAAGCACAATCGACTTTCCCTCGTCGCCCCTAGCTAGACCAAACATCCCCCCCTCAACAACTTAGCCTCCTACGACGACACTTTACAGGCTTTCACTAACAGGCTGCATGCTAAACATTAAAACCACACAGACCCCATCCCCAATATAAGGAACCTCACAGCCCGAACACCCCTTCAACCTCCCCGGACCCTTCTCTCCCCTCGTACACGCTACTAACCCCATCTCAACCCCCACACAAATCACCCTGAGCCCAACCCACCTCAGCCACGAATCCACACACCCGACCTCATCAGACATCCAACCTCACATCCTAGACCTACAAACACCCATCAGTCCTTCCTCAAGCCTTTTAAACAGTACTGGCCCCACCACATAAACAGCGCCCAAAAAAGTCCTTTCTATCCAGCTAATACAGGAACAACTTAGGGTACCAGATATAGACCATAAGACAGGTTTTCAAGTAAGGGTAAGCAGGACAGCTAAAACAGCTAGGTCTTAAGTTTTAGCACCAGGTAGACTTTATAAAAAGGAAAGACAACACAGAGAGGATAGAATTGAAGCTTACCCATAGGCAATTCCAACTAGACCGGAAAGGGTTTAGGGTTTATCATGTCCTAAAAAGGAGGACCACATCTACAGTTCTCGTATTTAAAGTGAATCTGACAGTCGATGAGCTGGAGGAACAAGTTAGACGCGACCTCCCGTAAGCAAGTCTACAGGGTCCACAGTACTGGTTTCGTTTCCATGTCTTAGGGTCAAAATTTAAGTATTCAGGCAGGGGTGAGGGGTGGTAAATCCTTCTATCAAGAAGTAATCAATGCCATCCCTCGGGCTTTCCTACCTTAAGGGGGAAGAGCGTGTGTGAGTCCTTTATGTAATTCTTTTGGCTTGCCGGTGGAATAGGAACTGGACTGATGCTCCCCAGAATGGAAAAGGAGCCAGAACCACACGGTTCTGTTTTTTAAACTTTTTTTTTTTTTTTAAATGTCGAGGCAGAGATGAAAACTCCGTCTGCCTTTCAAAATTCAAATAAAATTTTCTGGCATTCTTGTTTTTTAAACTTTTTTTTTTTTTTCTAGTTTTCAGAAGAGTCCGTAATGTAAAAAAAAAGAAAAAAAAGAAAAAAAAAAGGGAGAACAATATACATGATGTCAGGCACAAGACCTATAGGGGTCAACAGTCCGGTCCCGCCCGGACGCCCCACTCCACGTCCAGATCATCAGAACCATGCCACAAAACCTGAAACCGCCAGTACACCCGCGCCTGGAGGCGCTCCACTGCGCGCCAAGCTTTTTTTTTTTTTTTTTTTTTTTTTTTTTTTTTTTTTTTTTTTTTT